ATAGGCCATCCCACGAAAGGGAAGGGAGAGATGGGGTTAATCCCAAAGGATCACTTCCTGCCTCTGAAGAAAGAAATCTTTGGATCTAAGGGACCAACCCATCTGAATTTGAATCCTGCAATGGGTTCTGCCTGTGAGAGGCAATTGCCAAACCTCAGTTGCTGTGGCGACTTTCCCTTTTGGAATGGGAGAAGGGAAAAGTCTCTCCTCTTTTGGGAAAAAACAACACCAGCCACCATAGGTGCAGCGCTTTCGAAATGCCTTGTTTTCTTCCACATGGGGGAGGGGGAAAAGCACCAGGAAGAAGCAGAAAGGAGGAGGAGGAGGAAGGCACTCCTGATATATGGGAATCCAGCAAGTTCTCAGATCCCACAATAAAATGCCGACACACCATTTAAAGCTGATTACAGCTTTGCTTCCAGTTGCAAGAGACCTCACGCAAAAGCGTCGCAGTAAACACACCTTTATCTGCTCATGACTCAAAGAGCTGAACCGCTCTCACCTGGATTTTCAGACCATTTTCATCTCATGTGAGAAGACTGGTCAGGTGCCCTCACCTCTGTCCTTTCCCGTTTTGCTGCAATTTTTCCAACATTTCTTTTCCCTTCTTTGTGCGGAGGCATGAAGATTTGATTCCCAGGCCAAACAAACCCTACGGGCATTTTACACGAATGAACCTCAGACACAAGCACATCCTTCTCCCCACTCAAATGATCTGTTTCGATCCGTTACACCCATTTGGGAAGAAAGTGCAGTTTGCCGTTATGTCTGAAACAGCAAAGCACCTTCACGTGAGCTTGCGAAAAACTAGACAAGCCTACCCATATATTTAGAGAGCTGCCACTTGTTTTAACCTGTTTTTAGTTATTTTAATTTTGTTAAAAGTCTCAAATCGTTGTTGTTAATTCTTCTTGGTACTGATAATGTTATTGTTTTACACACACACACACACATATATATACACACACGGTATATATATATATATATTGTAAACCACTTTGAGGATTATTATTTTTCAATTCAGGAGTGTATAAATGTTGTGAATTAAAAATAATAATAAAGTCCTCCAGATCCAGGAAGGCCAGCTTGGATCAGGACCTGGTTTGAAGGGATATTTTTTTGCTGGTTCAGATGTAATTCCAAACTGTGCTTTCCACGAAAGCAGATGTAACAGAGAGAGAGAGAGAGAGAGAGAGAGAGGAGAAGAGAGGAGGGAGGGAGGAGTGAAAGAGAGAGCAGAAGGTTTGTTCACACATGTTCTAAGTCATGTTGTGATGTCCATTTGGCTCTCTCTTTTGTGATGACAGACCATAAATTGGTGAGAATCAGACCTGGAAAGAGTTGGGATAAATCGGCTGCAACATGTCAGAAGTCACACTCAATAGTAGAGACGTCAAGAGCATTCTGACAACCACTGAAACAGGCGAACAGGAAGACGAATAGCCCAGCTTTGGGTGGAATTGAACTGCAGCAGAACAGAAAGAGTGCTGCAGGGGCCCAATACAGGATGGAATGAAAAATTATGGTGGCTTGAGAGCCAGCGTGGTGTGAGAGCCAGTGCGGTGTAGTGGTTAAGAGCGGTGGACTTGTAATCTGGTGAACCGGGTTCGATTCCCCGCTCCTCCACATGCAGCTGCTGGGTGACCTTGGGCCAGTCACACTTCTCTGAAGTCTCTCAGCCCCACTCACCTCACAGAGGGTTTGTTGTGGGGGCAGGAAGGGAAAGGAGAATGTTAGCCGCTTTGAGACTCCTTAGGGTAGCGATAAAGCGGGATATCAAATCCAAACTCACTACTATGATCTTATAAGCTATTAGGGTGGTGTACAACTTAATGTACACAATATCATAGAATTGCAGAGCTGGAAGAGACATCTAGTCCAGTTCCCTGCAGTGCAGGAATCACAGCTCAAGCATCTCTAACAGGTGGCCACCCAACTTCTGCTTGAAAACATCCACGGAAGGAGGTTCCACCACCTTCTGAGGGAGTCTGTTCCACGGTCAAATGGTTCTCACTGACAGAAAGTTTTTCCTAATGGATGCATATTGCTGCTTAACGATGAAACTTAAAATAGTTGAATTGCTACTAGTATTATTTATTGTTGTTGTTATAAAGTGGTACCTTGGTTCTCAAACGCCTTGGTTCCCAAACCCCAAAAACCCAGAAGTAAGTGTTCCGGTTTTCGAACATTTTTCAGAAGCCGAAAATCCGATGTGGCTGTCGGCTGTTGTTTCCGAGGTGCCTGCACCAATCAGAAGCTGCACCTTGGTTTTCAAACATTTTCAAACATTTTGGAAGTCAAACGGACTTTTGGAATGGATTAAGTTTGGCACTTTTGTTTTTGCTATTTTTTTTTGCTGTTTTTGTGACTGTGTGGAACCCAGTTCAGCTACTGATTGGTTGTGTGACTGCGGAAATTGATAAAAGCCCCCCATCCAAACAATGACTATCATCATTGCAGGTAAGAAAAAATAAATTTATTATTATTATTATTATTATTATTATTATTATTATTATTATTATTATTTAGTACAGTACATTGATTATTGCTTTCACTTTATGGATCAATGGCCTCGTTAGATAGTAAAATTCATGTTAAATTGCTGTTTTAGGGGTTGTTTTTAAAAGTCTGGAAGGGATTAATCCATTTTGCATTACTTTCTATGGGAAAATGCCTTGGTTTTGGAACACTTTGGTTTTGAAACGGACTTCCGGAACGGATTAAGTTTGAGAACCAAGGTACCACTGTATTGCATTTTATAACACTGCTGTTGTGATATGTAAACTGCTGAGATATTTTGTTCAAACATGAAGCGGTATAAAAGTTAGCTAAACAAAGTCACTTGGTAGTAAATCTGCAGCCACACCCTTTTAAATTTTGGGATTATGCACCAGAACAGTAAAATCTAAATGCAGTTGAAGTTTGCAACCTCTCTTGGTCTCTCTATCTTGGAAAGAGCCAGCAATTCTTGGCCCTCCCTTATAACCTTGGGAACTAAACACATTTTGGCTGAGTGGCTTCCTGGGACAGCTCTCCTATGGCCGTACTGTGCTTCCCGAGAATAAGATGATCTACCAGTCAAGGGCCTCTCCAGTTCTCGGCAAGGCCGAACAGTCCTCAAGGGAATAGTTACCAGGGGGTAAAAGGCGGAGATCCTGCAAGATGAACACCTTATTCCCTCTGCCAACGCCCTTTGGTAACAGCCAGTGAAAGCTGAAAGAACACTTTCAAATTGTGTTACTCTTTGCAAGGGTGTGGCATGATGCAAATCACAATTTTAATAGGTCACTGTAACCGAAGAAATCCTTCCAGTTGGGTTGGTTCCTAAACTGTCATCAGGGAGACAGGAAGGTGACAGGTATTCATCAGAGAGCCCTGGAGTCACATCAAGAGGAGAAGGCAAAAGAAAGAGCAGTCTCCTGATGAGATCTCAATTCCTTCTAATTGGGGTGCTGGAGGAGACTCTTGAGAGTCCCATGGACTGCAAGAAGATCCAACCTCTCCATTCTGAAGGAAATCAGCCCTGAGTGCTCACTAGAAGGACAGATCCTGAAGCTGAGGCTCCAAGACTTTGGCCACCTCATGAGAAGAGAAGACTCCCTGGAAAAGACCCTGATGTTGGGAAAGATGGAGGGCACAGGGAGGAGGGGATGACGGAGGACGAGATGGTTGGAAGCTCGAAGCTTAGAACATGAGTTTGACCAAACTACGGGAGGCAGTGGAAGGACATGACTAAACGACTAAACAACAACAACAAGGCAACCTCAAGAAGATCCGGGGGGGGGGGCTAAGATGGCCCCCAGCAATACAGGAGCCCCTGAGAGAGCCGAAGATACTAAGAGGAGGTAGACGCTCCATCTCTGGTTCTCAGCAGGTCAAAGGATGAAGACCTAATGAGAACTTGGCCAGCTTTGGCTCACACTCGGGAATCGTTTGTTTTATTTATTTATTTCATTGAAAGACTTTCATGAATAGCAAAGGTACATATAAACGCTTCTGTTTTCAATTGACAGAGTCCTTTCGACACATCAGCTACATTCGGTGTGAGACATTGTTGTCGCAGGCATTGTGAGGATGTGGGGGGGGAGAGAGAGGAGAGGGGAGACAATGATCTTTCTTTCTTTTGCAAATGTAGGTGCAGAGTTGGTACCCACAAGATACAAGAGAGTACACCCAGACCCTACAAACCTCATCACAAGCAAAGACCAATGGGAGCATGACACAGGTTGCAAAACGAACCCTACCCAATGATCTCAATTGTGTCTAAACCACCCTTGGGAATGTTTACAAGTGACCTGGTGACATGAATAGGGACTATGGCAAAGGCACAGGGGAGGGCAATGGAACCCTTGCCCTTCATCACTTCACACAAGCACATGAAATGTACATTGTAGCCCCCATTTTCCCACTTGGATTCCCCTGCAGACTCAACAATCGGATGCATGGTCTGGATTCAACCACATTCCATTCTAAATCAGACCAACCAGCGGCTGGCAGAATTGTAATTAGGGCTCAACCAAATTCAACCGTCCACAGTCTGAATCCTGGGGAAGCAGGAAGCTGCAGTCCACGCAAAGAGAGAGCATGTTGCTTTTGAACGGGCTTTTCAGGGGGCTTTCATTTTAGGAAAATATGAAGCTTTAACCCTTGAACTGTGCCCAGCGGAACTGCATTTTGCATGGGGCATTTAAATTAACTCCGGCTACCGGAGTTCCAAATGGACTTTGGAAAACTACTATGCCTCTTGAGCAACTGTGAATTACTGCAATCTAGTGACTCACCACCCTTATTCTACCGCTCACATTCCCAACTTCCTCCAACGGAGGAGTTGTTCCATCCAGTCGATGGGAAAACATGACCAGGAATGACCCATGCCCTACCTTTGGAACTCAGTTCCTTCCTAACAGGGAAAACATTTGGGCTGCAGCTTCCCAACTGCCGCCATATTTCACGCACCAGCCTTCCAGTGCCACCCCCCCGAAGCCGGACCCGACTCTTACCGTCCACGTGGCCGACTTGGCAGTGCTGGATTGTTGAAATGAGACGTCAAAGCTGTGAGGTCCTGGGTAGTCTGTGTTGGAGGGGATGGCGGGCGAGGGTGAGAGGGCGTCAAAGGTGGAGCTGGGCTGGGCGTAAGGGGAGGGCGCCGTCACGCTGTTCTGAGCGTGGTCCGTGTTGTACGGGCTTGTGGATGAGGAGCCATTTTGTATCTGCTGGTCCATGCTGTTGAGGAGCCCCAGGTTTGTATACTGTGGCTGAAAAGGAGAGAGAATACATAGATATGTTACAGTAAGTGAAAGGACCCAGCCTTTGCTCTCTGGAAATAATTCCAGCTTAGCTATCAGTGTTTGGCTATCTATCTATCATCTATCTATCATCTATCTATATCTATCTATCTATCTATCTATCTATCTATCTATCATCTATCTATCTATCTATCATCTATCATCTATCATCTATCTATCATCTATCTATCATCTATCTATCTATCTATCTATCTATCTATCTATCTATCTATCTATCTATCATCTATCTATCTATCTATCTATCATCTATCTATAGCTATCTATCTATCTATATCTATAGCTATCTATCTATCTATCATCTATCATCTATCTATCTATCGTCTATCTATCTATCTATCTATCATCTATCATCTATCTATCAATCATCTATCTATCATCTATCTATAGCTATCTATCTATCTATATCTATATCTATATCTATGCTGCACCCCCCTGCAATCCCTACACAGATCTGGCTGGCACAGGACACAAAACCACAGCTCGCCCCTATACACGAAGCCAAGCCAGAGCACAACTAAATGCAATACAGCCATCTTCTCAGAAAAACTCTTCACAAAGTTCAAGAGGTCAAGACACGAAGGCTTTAGCAACTAATCCACACCTAATGACCCACCTAAGTGGTACTCAGGACATCACTCAAGAAATCACTCAAGATACCCTCAAGTAATTAAGGAACAAAAGAAGAAAAGGCACACTAGCCTGGAACTTCCTCTCTGCCCAGAACATTGGAGGCTATACACCACACCCCCTCAACAGTATTTATAGGAACTCAAACACTGAGATCCTGCTCTGTTCCAGTAACAAGAAGCCGAAAGCACCAGCCTTGAAGATGACGATGAGACCTCGTCGAAACGTCGCCTAGACACCCAACTTTTACACGGGAAGACACCCGAGGACACCAAAACCTGCATCTATATCTATCTATCTATCTATCTATCTATCTATCTATCTATCTATCTATCTATCATCTATATCTATCTATCTATCTATCTATCTAATCTATCTATCTATCTATCATCTATCTATCTATCTATCTATCTATCTATCTATCGTCTATCTATCTATCTATCATCTATCATCTATCTATCAATCATCTATCTATCTATCTATCATCTATCTATCTATCATCTATCTATCTATATCTATCTATCTATCTATCTATCTATCTATCTATCTATCTATCTATCTATATCTATCTATCTATCTATCTATCTATCTATCTATCTATCATCTATCTATCTATCATCTATCTATCTATCTATCTATCTATCTATCATCTATCTATCTATCATCTATCTATCTATCTATCTATCTATCTGCACACACACATTTAGCATCTTTAAGCACCTTTAAGTTTGACACAATCTTGAGAATCACAGAATCATAGAATTGTAGAGTTGGCAGGTGTCCCCAAGGGTAATCCACTAGGAATCACAGCTAAAGGATCCCTGGCCGATGTCCATCCAACCTTTGATTAAAGACCTCCAAGGAAGGAGAGTCCATCACCTTCCAAGCTCATAGAATCACTGAATTGTAGAATTGGAAGGGACCCCAAGGCCCCTGGAGTCCAACCCCCTGTGATGCAGGGATCACAGCTAAAGGATTCCTAACAGATGTCCATCCAACCTTTGAGTAAAGACCTCTGATGAAGGAGAGATTGCCACCTTCTGAGGCTGTCTGTTCCAAGAAGGTTATTTCCTGGATTTCCTCTGCTCCATGGAAATAGCCAGGGAGTTATGGTGCCACCTTCAGCCATACATTTCGTTCAAGCTCAAAGAACCTTCTGATTGCTCTTCTTCTCCTGCTCCCTCCTCGCCAGTGACATCTTAATCCTTCACCTCACACTATTTTACAACAGGGAGGGATAAGTCATACTTTTAATTTTCCTTGGCTGAAATATTTAATTGTATTCCACTCATAAAGCACATCAATCAGATTATATTTTTTTGAAGACTACCAGATGTAAGAAGAATCTCAGCCCGGACCCAGTTTGGACAATCACATCTCGGATTGAAAAACCAAGACATGTGAGTCTTTTGAACATGCATACAGAACTTTCACAGCCAAACTAGGAAGACTGTAATTGACCACAGCTCCTCATTGCATCTGAACCGGAGAAACTCTGGTTAGCAGCATGAGAATGAGGCAAGATCCTAAGCCCACTTCAAACCACGGTTTAGGATCCTGGCTCGTTCAAATGCTAGGGACCAAGGTTTCCTGGTCTGGATGAAACAGGAAGATATGAGACTTCAAGATCTGCTTGCCAGGTTACACAATGAAGTTGAAAAGATCTTGGCCATAGGTGTCCATTTAGCATTGCTTTTAAGCCGCTCTTGGGTTATTTCTGTAGCTGTTTTGATTATAGTTCACCCATCGCCCGGGGACATCTGTGGAAGGCGATTAATAAATAGCAACAAGCGAGCAGAGCTTTAGTGGGTGAACAGGTGCAAGCAACTCGCTCACATTTTGGTTTATGAAGCTGAGATGCGATTGCCTGAACTTGGCCACCAAAACGTATTTAGGTTGGTAAAGAGAAAGGACAGCAGAGGAACCAATTCATTCAGAGCAGAAACCAGCAAGTTTGGCAAAGTCGCTCAGCTCGCACCCCTGGCACCGATGCCAAGAGAAGCAGCCAGCCCTTTTGCCTGCCAGCTAGAGCACCTTAATCCCTAAACAGAGCCACCCCCGCCTTGAGGGGCACCCTTGCTCAAGCAACGCAGCCCTTTCCCCAGCAGGCTCAGCCCTGAGAAAAGAAGGCCGTTCTCTTGGCCACCTAGATTCGCTCCATTGCCACAGCACCCTTCCAAGCCTGTCTTGCTTGCTCCTGAAAGGGATGGGCCACCCAGTCAATTTCAGGTTCTCATTTTCCCAGCCTCGATTTAGCCACATTTCCACATCGGTTTGTGATTCATTTTTGTCTAAAAGTCCTCCTGAGAGTTGGCTAGCGTCCTGGTGTTAACTTCTCCTAGTATTTGTGTTTTCGCAAGCCATTTCCCCATATGCAATGCATTTTCGTCGCTTGTTTCAACGAACATATGCACTCCGAAGCACACCTTCTCATTCAAGAACCCCAGATTTGTATTTAAAGAAAAAATGACAAAATGGTGCCAAGTCCCACCAACATCCCACTTACTGCAAAATTGCAAATGCAATCTCTGGGAGTTCCTTCAGGCAAAACCATCTGAGGAAGCACCAAAATTTGCAAACCTGGCAAACTCTCTCGAGGGGGTTTGGCACGTCCTTGATTTGGTTGTCAGGAATGTGGCAGACGAGTCTGTTTTAGCCGTGTTTATTTTTTTTAAAGTGTTTAATAGGTATCTTGCCTCTTAAAATGGCTGTTGCACAAGCATTCGCCCTCCCCGTTCCCAACAGGCATTGGGCAGCAGATCTGATTAGAAATCTTAATCGTAATAAAGAGGAAAGCAAATTGTAAATACGGCAGCCTTGTCATTCCAAGCAAGCCAGGAGCCATCTGTCTGAATGGCGAAGAGGGGAAGAGCCATTCCTCTGCCTTGATCCGGCCACATTCCACAGCCCAGCACCCCCTCCCAGCTTGCTATTTAAATAGCGATTAATCCTTGCCTTGACATGAGCAGCTGGGAGGCTGCTTCGCTCTCCCTGTTCCTCCTGTGATCCTCTAACCCTTTGGCCCACTCCACCCCTGCCCCAGACAGGTGCATCAAAATGTCCAGGTGAGGGGAGGAAAGTTAAGACACCCAGGGCCAACGCTGGGTCTGGGCAGCCGAGCCCCAGGCCAGAGAGGCTCGGAGGAGCGGTTTGCACCCAGAGGTCAGCGTCTGAGTCGCTCGCGAGCCCTGGGGCAGCCATCAGATAACTCTCTCGGAGGCGTACGCCTCCTGACAAGGGAACAATTAGAAGGGGGCAGTCGAGCCAGGGGGACAAAGGCGCCATGGAATTTGACTCGGAATTTGGCTTCCGATGAAAACACCCCTTGCCCGCGCTCTCGCTCTCCTTCCTTCCAAAGGCCACAGAGTCACTCCTGAGAACAAAACAAGGCTTCAGGTTCTTGCCTGACTGGCCACACCATCAAAAGATTTGAAGGAGAAAACGGGGAAAGTTGTTTGCTTGTTTGCAAATTTCAGGTGGTCTGTGTTGGTGATGCAACAGAGGCTTGTGCTGCTCCGTGCCTCCACCGAAACCTACCCTAGGCGCTCCACTGGTGCACCCAAGATGGGGCAAATTCACACGTGTGTGTGTGTGTATATGTATGTAGAACTGGGACAAATGGCACCTGCTCAATTCCCCCTCCGAATAAGGCCATCTGAACACAGCGCTCCACCATGAACCACAGCCACCGGGTTTCAGCCAGACTTTTGCAAAACTCCACCTCTCTGCTTCTGCACGAAACAAAAGGGGACCGTTTTCTCCTCTTCGCACATAACTGAGGTGTCTTTATAAAACTGTACTTGATGAAAAGTACAGATAAAAGAAAGGACTTCTTAATGCAGTGTATAATTAAACTATGGAACTCACTCTTCCAGGAGAAAGTGATGGCCTTTGAAAGAGGGTTGGGCAAGTTCATGCCAAAGGGGTGACATTCTGGATATCGCCAGCTTGCTATTCACGAACACCAACCACGTGTGCAGAAGACCTGCTAACAGGGAGTTGGGAGGAAGGAATTATGGGATGGTGGCAATTATGCCACCAAAATCAAGATTAGCATCAGGAGAGGCCTGGGTAAAGAAGAGATCGTGCAAAACAGTGCACCAGGGCTTGTGAACCAACAGCAGGTTTGGGAAGCTGGTTTCTTGGTTGTTCCAAAACTGCCAACAGACTCTCCTCTCTGATTACAGTCAAATAACACCAAATATTCCGTGAAACAAAGATGCTCAGTTAGGAGTACCAAGAATCCTAAGCAGATATATGGCAGGGGCGAGCCTTGCAAAGCAGCTCCGGGCTGGCATCAGGCTGGTGATGTTGATGGCACA